TAAAACAGCAAGTCATGGGGCTCAGGGGCTCTCACAGTCTCTGGGTAGCTAGGACTGTTACACAGAGATCCCCGTCTCAAAAAATAAAAATAAATTTAAGAAATCAGGAATAAGTCTTCAAAATGTTCTGGCCTCATCAGAAGGCTTCTGACAGAAAGGCTGATTGCTCCTTGACCCAGTCATCAGGCCTCCCTGTCAGGGCTCAGGGAAGGTGAGGCCTCCCCAGGCAACCTTAAGGTCTATGTAAGAAACCTGATGGTGTTTAAGGGATGGAAACTCAAAGTCCCAGGACCCTGGATTAAGAGGAGAAACTTGGAGCCAGGTGGTGGTGGCTCACACCTTTAATCCCAGCACTCCTGAGTGGCAGAGGCAGGTGGATTTCTATGAATTTCAAGACCAGCCTGGTCTACAAGAGCTAGTTCCAGGACAGACTCCAAAGCTACAAAGAAACCCTGTCTCAAGAAACGAGGGAGGGAGGGAGGGAGGGAGGGAGGGAGGGAGAGAGAGAGAGAGAGAGAGAGAGAGAGAGAGAGAGAGAGAGAGAGAGAGAGAGAGGAGAGAGAACACTAGTGCATAGAGCTGCCAGCCCCAGGCCAGCTCTTGGTCTGCTCTCCTGAAGAGCTATACTCTGTTATACTCCGTAGCATTTAAATAGGCCCATTTTCTTCATTCTGGTGCTTCCCTCTCTGGGCCTGGCTAACACAGTCGCGCACGTTAGCCAACTTTGTTTTCTCCGATGTCACACTCTAAGTTAAGATTAAAGTCAGGATGACTTGTTCCAGTCATCCAGAGTTAGATATCAGACGACTAGGTCGCTCACATCCCCTAAAGCCTATGGAAATCATTAACACTAGCTAAACGCGCGCCCCGTTAACTCTCCTGCTCTCTTTCTTCTACAAAAATCACAATGCAGTTTTTGTTTATAAGGCAAACGCAGTTTCGGTCACTCAAGACGTCACTTTCTCCCCCTGTGCGCAGCAAACCACCTTTTCAGCGCGGTCGTCCTCTCCAATGACCTTGACATACCTGGATTATCAAGTAATAAAATTTAGTAAAACTGTAGGGTGCGAAAAAGATTCGGAGCCCGGGTGCCCAGCATTATCACGGAGGCCCCAAGGCTGAAGGCACCAGCCTCCGCTGCCGCCATCTCCTCCCCGTGGTTGTGGGAGGGCGTTCCCAGAAGGTGTTTCGGAAAACCCGAGTCTCCGGAATTTAACTTCGCCAATTTACGTCACCCGAAGGAAAACAATGTGCCCTGAACCAGGGCGGTCTAATGGCGAGACCTGATACGCGACACCCAGGGATCTGTCGAGACAGGGATGGCTGGCCCTTGTTCTCTGCTAGGATCCCGAGTCTAGATCGCATGTAATTTGTCCTCTAGCTGCACCAGAGTTGCTGCGGACCAGAGATGCCTGGCAGAACGGTATGTGGGAACAGAGGACCCAACCTGGTGCCCGAAATTGGGCTACGCCTTCGATTCTGTTCTTGGATCCAGCACTTCGCTAAAATCCAAAACCTTCACTATGCAAAAAAGTAAAAGTATAGTAAGGGCTCGTCCGGGATTTGAACCCGGGACCTCTCGCACCCAAAGCGAGAATCATACCCCTAGACCAACGAGCCACTGTGAGTGCTAAGCCTGATGCTGATCTTTGGATATTTTCATCCGATTGACTCATCAAGACTATTCCTTTGGTCCTGCTTGTAAAGATTTTCCGAGTTCGTTTTTCTGAGAGTTCCAGAAAACAGATGGAGGTACGGCACCGGCCCCGTGGAGACGGAAGAGAAAGTTCCCACGCGCTCATAATGGGTCAGATCTCAGCCCTAGGGCACAGCACTCCGCAAGAATGACCAGGGACCACCGTCCTCCGGGAAAGGGAAGTCAGAGAGCTCGCGTGAGCAACACAGTCTCATGGTGGACCCCGGATTAGAAATTTCATCGCAAATAGAATCCTAGTCTAGAACCTCGAGAATGAGACGAGATTGCCGCCTCCTGGTCCGCCAGTCCCTGCAGGCTCAAACATCAGGGGGAGAGCAAGGGTCCTCCAAAGAATCCGCAGATCCTGTCCCTTGGCAGCCCACTCCGGCCCTGAAGACCAACGCAACTCATAGACCCGGATACAGAAGCCGGAGCTGGACTCGGGGTTCGGTTCTTCCTACGTGGACCGCAGAACAAACGCTCCAAGATTCACCTCCGAATAGCGTTTAGCAAGGGATTCGGTGTCCCTAAGGCGAGTTTGAAAACGCAGGCTCGCCCACGGTTATTAGATCGTGAAACCGATCTGGCCCTAAACTGGGGTTTCACTAACATCCTCACAGACCTTGCCCCCCACCCTGTGGCTCCCGGGAACGGAAGGGGCAACACACACGCTGGCCGAGCAGTTGTAGGAGGCTGGAGGAGTAAACCAATAAACCCACTTCCGTCTAAGGGCTAGATGCTCATCCTACAAAACCCAAACAAGACCCATCTGTTCTAGAACCCTGAGGTTCTAAAGAATTCCAAGAGGTCTGTAGGGAACAGGTTTGCCAACTCCGCCCGGCTAGCTCAGTCGGTAGAGCATGAGACTCTTAATCTCAGGGTCGTGGGTTCGAGCCCCACGTTGGGCGAGTTGTTTTGTCTATGAAATCTGCGAACGGGCAGAAAGTCTGTGTACTGCAGGAACTGGTGCTCATGGCTGAAGATTTCATATACAGCGCTACAGAATCAGAAACCTGCGGAGGCAGAGCCAGGTTTTTCCTCTCTTTTTATTTAAATTTTATATATTTAACCTGACACTTTACAAGTATATCATGCTTACATAAAAGTTCCAGGTACAATACGAAGAGCATTCAGGACCTTGTCTATGGACTCTTCTTGGAGAGGGGCACCACCTCCCTGGACTTCTTGAAACTCCCCAAGACTAGGCGGTGACTCCACAGACTTCAAGAAGCTTGACCTCTTTCCATCCGGGACGGTGCTTCGAGGAATGGAACTAAGAAAGGTGGGCTTTCCTGCAATACAGCCTCTAACACACGAGGCTGGCTCGAACCCCCCCCCCCCCCCCCCCCAACGGCTTTGTTTTACCAGTACGCGGATAAAGACGGGAAAGCATCCCCGTGCTGTCGGAACTGAGTCCTTTCGAGACTGGCAGAGTCTCTGGGGGCTCCGCCTGTGCTAAGTGTCTGCTTTCCATTTCAGAAAGCAGAAATCATTGTGAAAATGTTGAAAGGACAGGGTCAGAAAGTGAAATAAATATGAAGCCCCGCCCCCCGACTTTTTTCTTTTTAAGCAGATTTTTAAAAGCAGGTTCCAATCCAGATTGTCCTGGAACTCAAGATGTTCCAGGCTGGCCTCTAAAAGATTCACCTGCCTCTGCCTCCCTAATGCTGGGATTATAGATGACCACCGCCACCCTCGTTTTGAACCTTTTTTTTTTTTAAGTAATAAAAATTATAAATTGTTCTAAAACAAGTGTGTCTTATCGAAAGTCAGGGCCAATCTCAGGGTAAACTATTGAGAAAAATAGAAAAAAGAAAGAAAGCCAGGGCCAAACCCCCAAAGACCTCCATATCTCCAAGACCTCCATCTTGTAGCCACAGGGTTGCTCTTGCTGAAACAAAGTAGAATTTTACCCCGCACGTTGCAGAATCACAAGTAAGGGGAACCGGCAGCCTCGGGGAGGCCTTCATGTGAAAGATTCCCTGGGTCAGAATGCGTCAGAAGCTTCCACTTTTATAGTAGATTAACCCTTGTATTTTGGGAAAGTTTTACCCTAAGGATGAAGCCACGCATTATACAGATTTTTAAAATACAGAATTATTATCTATTTTAAACATGTACTAAAGCTAAGAAAATGGTCTTCTGTGCTTTTGTGTCCGCCACTGAGCCATATATAGGCTCCGAGCACCAATCTATAATTTATAAACTAATCCGTTGTCTGTGAAGTTGATTCCTAAATAATTGTGTTATTTAAAAACAAAACAATTTTACCTTTAATCCTAGCTCTGGGGAAGCAGAGGCAGGTAGATCTGAGTTCCAGGCCAGTTTGGTCTACAGAGAGAGTTAACAGGACAGCCAGGGCTACAGAGAGAAACCCTAAATCGAAAAAAGCAAAAAAAAAAAAAAAAGTTCAAACGAAATCACTTATTTTGTAAACTGTTAGCTTGCTTTCATTTAAAAACACAACACTGCCTCTAGCTTTAAAAGTGTGTCAAAAACCCTCTCGACATTTTTAAGTCTTACTTTCTTAACATTCGTTTTCCACGTGTCTAAAACACAGCCTTCTTACCCCGGGTGGGACTCGAACCCACAATCCCTGGCTTAGGAGGCCAATGCCTTATCCATTAGGCCACCGGGGCTGACGAGAGGGATGAAATATGAATCCTCCACTAGTTTGTTTCTCTTCGTAGTTTCCGTGTCCCTTTGTTGTGTGTACTATTTTTTCCACAAATCGGGGCTCTTTTGCCAGATTTTCACGTCCATTCTCAGGCAAGGCTCTAACTCTGATTAAGTTAAGGCCTCGGAGCACCCCGGGATCTAAAAGGGGCCGCACTTTGAAAAAGAAACTGAAAACTACATCACTGGTTCTATCTTAGCCCATTGGTCTAGAGTGGGTATCTATCTGTGTGCAAGATGTCCAAGACTCAAATATTGAGTGAGCCCTTTGAACCGTGACGGCGGGTAGGGAAAACGTGTTTGCGGTGCAGGATACAGGAGCCGGCACGCTATTATACGTTTTGCGGTGCCTTGCGGTGCCGATTCCCTGTCCAGAAAGAGTGCACAGTGCTCGGCCTTTTTGGTCCTCTCCCTCTGTCTCTTCGACCAAATGCTACTTGGTAGGGATAGATCTTTACTTTTTTTGAGTATACAGCTGACCTATATATTTTACTCGATACCCTCCCTCATCCTCAAAAAAAAAAAAAAAAAAAAAAAAATCTGAGGTTGCGTTCCAGCCCAGTTACATTTACCTTCATGTCCTTTTGACTCTCCTTTATCTCGTGTGTGTATGTGTGTGTGTGTTGGGGGGGGGGGTAACTACTAATCTAACTTATATTTACAAGCCTTATTAAACCACTATAACATTAAAGAGCAAATGACTCCGCACAGCTCTGTGCCACGTGAGCTGGATCCGGCCCTCGCCTTACGTGGCTCTCGTGGGAGTTGCGGGGATGAAAGACGTTTCTGATTCCACCGAATCCCTTGAATGGAGACACCCCTACACACACACCCCAGGAGAAATGTCAACTCAATCCTGGACATATTCTTGCTATTTAAAAATTTATATTTTTACAGGTCCTTACACTGGACCTGTAAGGAGACGGCTTCTTGTTGTTGCTGTTGAAACAAGACTGGCCTTTAAGTCTCCTGCCTCCACCTCCCAAATGCAGGGTGGGATTTCCTGGACAGGACACCTTCACATCGTAAGAAACCTAATCCATTTGATTGTTTCGCGAATTTGAGAGCTGTGGACATATACATAAACCAAATTTACCGCTTTAATTGACGTCCTGTTCAGTGACGTCATCTGCATCCACCACATTGTGCAATCGACCGGATAATCTAGTCTAGTTGTTTGGTTTTTAGAGACAGGGTTTCTCATCGTAGCTGCCTACTGAATTTTTTAATACAAGTGTCTTTGGCTTCCTCTTGGACGGCTCCCACTCTGCGGCAAGCAGCCCAATCTGGCGTTTTTTGTTTTCCTTTCCCCGGCGCTAATTCGTACTGCTCATAGTCTGGTTTAAACCAGCTTCACCTGCTGATTACAAGCACGCTGGAAATCGGGAGTCCTCCGAGCCGTGGGGTGAAAAGAAAGCAAATCCGAGAATGGGAAATTCTTTAAATTAGGGTTTGTAAAAATCGTATTCTTGCAGCGACCACGAAGGGACTCGAACCCCCAATCTTCTGATCCGGAATCAGACGCCTTATCCATTAGGCCACGCGGCCCTACAACTGCCGGTATCTTAGCTCTCTGTATAAGGCATTCTCAAGAGCCTACTGCGCATGCTTACTTAACTGGAAAAAGGTCCCGCCCCTTCGGCTAAACTATTTAGTGAGAGCTGCTTGGGAGCCTCAAGTTTGAATCGGTATGAACCTTCCTGGGCAGTCCGCCAGCATAAGTCCCCCCGGATCTGAGAGGCTCATCTTTCTGATCTCCTCCACTTGATGGCCCTCAACTCAGGATCAGGGACAGCCCATGCGCTTGCGCCATCATGTCTCTGGTGTATCCGCAATGGTCTCTAACAGTCTGCGACCCGATTTAGCTCGCCTCTCCGGCACCTCGGTGCCCCGAGTCAGGTGGAGACTGAGGAACGCACGCACCGCGGACTCAACAGGGAAGAATTGCGATCCCTGAGCTGGTCCTTCCCAGGACTCTTCTCCTTAGGCCGCTCCAGCATATCCGACCAGCCCTATTAGGTTCTATAGTCCCGGACGCGAGGCACAAACCCCAATCCAACCTCTGGTCCCCAGGAGCACAGCTGTTCCTCTATCTAGTGCCAGATACTTTATCTCACTTATTTCAGAGAAAGTGTGCATTTCCCGGAGCACAACGACCGTGAACAGGTATTTATTGCACGCTTCTGAGCTCCCACACCCAAGGTGCTGCAACGCTGACGTTGTGCTGACGTGAGTGCGGAAGGAGGATGGAGCGGAAGTAGCCGGACTGTCAATTCTGTAAACAAAGCCGGCGCCTGAGCGAGCTGCGGATCTCCAAGCACGCCTTGCGCCTCTCAACACTGTCCGGTCCCAGCACGTCCAGTTCACACACCCTCCTGTTGACCTGAGGAGTGACACTCAGCTAGGGCCCAAGGGCTCAGTCTGGCACACCCACCGCAGTCCCCGGCTGCTGGCGGTTTCTTTGTGGGGGAGGGGATGCTTTCTCAGACAATCTCACTACGTATCCCAGGCTGGTCTTAAACTCGGAGATCCCGACGCTACCTTCCAGCTACATGCATGCCCCCACAACACCCGGCTATTGTCTTGTTGTCCTGCAAGCCTGAAATTCCAAGTACTACTTAATCGTCTTTGAGCTTCACACTGCCCCCAGAGGTTTAACACGAGTTCCTTGCTCTCACCCAGTAGGAAAGGATCCCACCCCATATGTATATCTGCTGAGCTGGTCTGATCAAAGTGCCACGTGTCTTTGATCATTTCATATTGTGTGGGTCTGAGATTCCTCCTAGTAATAAAGGTTTTTATTGTTCTAGAAAGGGAGAGGGAGAGGGAGAGGGAGAGGGAGGAGAGAGAGAGAGAGAGAGAGAGAGAGAGAGAGAGAGAGAGAGAGAGAGAGAGAGAGAGAGAGAACACCTTCTCCTTTCCCTGGGGCAAGTGGGAGGTGAAGGGAACACAACCACCAACCCAGACTTTCTCTATCCCTGTCCCCGCCCTTCACACCTCAGTCAGCAGCTCAATGAAATCTCCTCCTGGGTTGGCTCTCATGACCTCCACCAGCGTCTGGACAAAGTCTGAGCCCTTTTCTTCGTCCCGATAGGCCACACAGCCTATGTCAGGGAGTGAGGCCAGAGAGTCAGTCAGTCTTGGGCTCCTTCCCTCTAGCATCCCAACCCTAGCCGCCTACTGAGGGTGGGAGGAGTGGGACGGGCAGGCAGAGGGTATTCTGGGTATCTGGGTGTCACTCCAGGTCTCAGGGCAGGAAGCTAGGTCTAGCAACACCCACGGGCTTCTTACCCTCAGCAGCTGAGTAGAAAATAAGGATGTCTGCTTGGCCAGTGCTCCCTGCAAAAGAGTCAACTCCCTTTACTGGCATCCTGGGACTCCACCTGCCTCGGGTCTGTCATCTCTGGTTCAAGGGCAGCACAGGGCAGTGGAAAGAGTGCAGGAAAGGAAGACAGATGGAAAACCACCAGCCTTACAGCACTCGGACTGTATGAACTCAGAGAAGCGAGTTCTCTTTGCTGACTCCAAGCTGCTAGGCTCAGTCAGGTCCCTCCCTGAGTCTTGGCAAAGAAGGGGCAGAGGGGATAACAGAACCCAAGATGACAGTCCTGGAAGTATGCCAGGGCTGATTCCCACCAGTGTGCCAAGCCCAGGCTCTAAAGGAAAGCAGACCCACCTGGGGCATCAACATGAACCTGGAGAACATCTGCCTGGGTGGGGATGCCTGGGGGCGCTCGCAGCCAGCGCCTGTACCATGGGAGAGCTCTTGGCCCCACACCAGGGTCCCTGTTCCCTGGAGAAGGAGGGGGCAGATATGTTCACTCAGTGGTACCTCAGGATATTTCTGGGTCATCCAGACTCCATATTAATAGTGGGGCAGGCTTGTAGAGCTGGCAGTAGTCACACAAGCTCAAGGTTGTGGAGAGGGTGGAGAGGGGCGAGGAAAGGCTAGTGTGCAGGCTTCCTGGAGGAGGTGGGTGGGAAGTGGGGGGGGGGCAAGGACTGGCAGAGGAAAGCCAGGAGAGCTGGTTGGGCTGGAGGCAGGGCCTCTTACCCCCACGGCAGGCCTGAAGCAGGAAGACCTTGGGGCGGCCACGCAGTGCCTGGCAGCAGTTCAGCTCCTGGACCAACATCTCGGACTGTACTTCTTGCCCATCAACCCCCAGCAACTGCCCTTGTGGCCCCCCGTGGGCCATCAGGGCCAGCAAGGCACAGCTCACAGGGCCCTTGTGCGCGTCCAGCTTTTCCCGGAACTGAACCAGCTCCTCCCGGAATGCCTAAAGTGGTGAGGACAAGGACAAGGTCTGAACCAGCCTCTGGTTGCCCTCCAGGGGACTGGGGCCACTTCTTCAGCCTCGACCTTGGAGAGCAGGCTTCCCAAGGCAGGGAAGTGACTGTCAGAGGCTAGACATATAGATGTACTTCCTGCCTGTGATGCAGGAGAAACCTAGCAAGGAAAACTCCAGGGTCCTAGGGGAGGGGTACCCTTCCTTCCAGGCACTACCAATTTTGGGCTTCCCCTGACCTGAGCTGTAGGGTCTGTCCTCAAGATGACCTTGAAGCCTAAGGCCTGGCACAGGTCCACCAGTGCTGCCACATCATGCTCTGCCCCAAGCCGGTCTTGAATCACAGCCAGTAGGAGGGCGGCCCTGGTCCCAGACAGGTCATACTGTGCGCTTGGTCTGGAGTCTGACTATACAGAGAGTTAGGGGCACACAGTGGGCTGAGGGGACTCCCAGTTCCTCCTCTCCCCATCTGTATCTCTCTCAGCCTCCACCCAACCTGCAACTGTCCACACAGGACTAGCCTCTCACCTCTGGCCTCCTGGGCTCCACATCTCCCAAACACAGGGTCCCCCGCAAGGAGGTCCTAAAGAATGGGCAGTAGGTATCCCCAGCACACTCTTCAGCTACTCTGCAAAAGAGCTGAGAGGGCAGGGCCCAAGGACGCCTCAGAGAGTTGCGCTGTTAGGGATGGGCATGGGCTGCATCCTAAGCAGAGGGTCAGGCTCTTGGCTCCAGGGAAAACTTAGCCTGCTCAGAGCTACTACAGGCTTTGGAGGTCACATAGCAGGGAGGTAGAGGGGAACACAGAAGTCAGGATGGACTTAAGCAAGACCTAGGCTCTGACTCATATTCAAATTCATTATCTCACCCTAGGGATTAATACACAGAGGCAGGCCCCTCCCTGGAGAAGCACAGGTCTGTGGAGGAGGAGGTGCTAGGCTGAGGGAGCCATGGAGCAGAGCTGGGGTCTACAGCTCTCACTTCTATGTCACTCAGACACCACTGGACTGCCCAGCAAGATGTTCAGACCTCAGGATCGAACCTCCATCTCAGTCAAAAGGCCCTTTCAGTACATCTGGGTAGCAGCCACTACCTGCTCGAGTGTCAAAGGGTGAGGCAGAAGTCTCACTGTAGATCCCAGGAGCACAAGGAAAGTTAGCACGGTGACAGTGGGACTGGCCAGGGCACCAGGGAGGGCACACCACTTTCAGGGACTACTTCGGGCAAAGGCATAGGATGTAGAGAAAGTTTGGAGTCTGGTGGTCCCATGTGGGCGTGAAGGCATGTCCTGCAGCCCGTGCATGTGTGTAGCTGATAAAGGTTTTCAGAACAGATGCAACAGAGTGTGCATAAATTTAACTCTGGGGAGCCAGGGAGACACAGGCCCCGCCGTCCCTTCTTCTGGGTCCCCCCACCTCTGTCAGCAGCTGCAGCAGTGACCAGTGAGGATGTTGGCTGCAGATTTCCCCCAGACCCGTGAGGAAAGCTTCAGGTTCCCAGGCAGCTGGGGGAGAAACACCACAGGGCTGTGTAGGTAAGCCAGAAGGTCCCAGCTTTCCTGCTCATCCCCCACCTTCACTTCTCCCTCCCAGAACTGGGGTCACCGCCTAGAAACTCACCCTTGAGGTCACTAGAGAGCAACAGGAAGATTTTGGGGCAACCCTGCAGGGCCCCACAGCGACTCAGCTCCTGAACCAGCAGCTGTGGCCGCCTCAGCTGCCCACTGGGGGCCATCAAGACCACAAGGACACACCCCACAGCACCCCTCTGGATATCCAGCTGCTCCCGGAACAAACTCAGCTCCTCGTGGAAGCTCTACGAGAAAGTGGCAAAGTCTGGTGAGGCCCCAGCTACGGGTGAGCACTGTGGCAGAGGGTGAAGATTGCAGGGGAAGTGTCACCTGGACCGAGACCTTCCTCTTCTCACAGTTTTCAAAGCCCAGAGCCTGGAACACACCATCCAGGGCAGCAGCTGCAGCCGCAGACACCCCGGGACTGCTGAGTATCAAGGCTACCCTTGAACCCCGCACCCTGTATTTTCCCTGGGGAAGGAAAGTCAGAGCTATGCTGGGCTGAAGCCCTGCTGGGCGTTGGGAATGGACTGAGCCAGGCAGGCAGAGCATCCCAGTACCTGTCTTCCCAAGCTGTCCCAAGTATCTGCCAGCTGTGCAGCCGCCTGCAGGGTCCCAGACACCAGGAAGGCCATGAGGCCCAGTGGGGCTTCCTCCAAGCCCAGAGCTTACTCTCTGGCTCTGGTCCCAAGCACACTGGGGCCTGATCCTTGCCCTTTTCTACACATGTTGCCTCCTATCAACTGCTATGATCCCATCTGGACTTTGCCCTTCTTTGGTAACCCTGGGCTCCACTCCTCCAGCGTAGCTCCCTTCTCTAGCTCTGGCTGATAACTTCATGGCTGGCATTCCTGTGTTCCCACCTGAGCCACGAGCTTGAGCTCAATTCTATTCTTAGTCCTTGGCCCATGCTCCTATCTGATCGTGTTACACCTATGTGTCTCCCTTAGGAGGGAGCTGCCAGCTCTACAGCCCATACTATTCCCAGCATCCTTTTCACCCTGCCCTCCATGCGACTGTGCACAAAGTCCAAGCATACGGCAGTGCAGAGCTTGCAGAGGCAGGAACAGCTGACTGGAACCTGCTGGGTCTCAGGTGGGAAATGGGGAAGGTTGAGACCACAAGGCAGATGTGCTATACTGGGGGCTGGCAGAGGAGGGACCTTGGGGACAAAGGCTGGCATGCATAAATCAGTTAGTAAGGGACAGAACATCTTGTCTCTGTCTATCCCCAGGAGAGGCCCCCTAAGTCTGACAGAATGAACCCAGAGGATCAGCAAGATCAGACAAGGAGTGACTGGCCCCGACCAGACACCACCAGCTTGGTGTAGGCCCCAGCTTGTACTGGGGGCTGGTAATAGAAGCTGGACTCTTTTTAGCTGATTAACCCCTCTGACAATTTCAAGCTTACACAGGGCCAGCTGAGCTCTTGATCCCACAGAGCAGCAGGTGTGTCCCCTCATTCGGTCGGTCAGTTCCCCTTTGGCCCCTTGCTCACTTTACCACTGCAAGTGAAGGAGGACCTGGCAGACTTCAAGTCATGCTTGACTCCTGTTCTTCCAAACCAGGACTGCACCGACTGACACAGGTAAGTCAGTCACAGGACTGCAGGTACAAGATGTGGCTCCCCCTGGTGACTGCAGACACCCCCAACCATCAGCGTTAAGCCAAAAGATAACTCCCATGCCCCCGACTCAGAAAAGCCAGCTAAAAAATGACAGCCTCAAGGCAAAGGTCCATGTTTATTCAAACCCTTCTGAACCCCATCAGCTGAGCCCTTTTGGAGGGTCTATGCTGTCCTGTTAACATCAGTCTGCACACAATGCAGACTAAAAACATGAATACAGTGCTCCGGTGTCAGCTACAAAGTGCTGACTGACAGAGTGCTAGTGTAAGTACAACAGAGGCCGCACATCTGGAGGAACGGGTGTTCTCCAGAGCCAGCCTGCTGCTACAGCCACCACCTCCACTAATGTCCAGACCTGCAGGCCAGTGTGTCTCAGGGCTCACAGCACGACAGTTAGGCGCTTCCTGGGGTTGGGGCAGAAAAGAGGGGTCACAGGTTGGAAGTGGGGGAATGTGGGGGGTGAAGGCCAGGAAGCTGCTGAAACTGAACCCAGGACCTAAATTCTCATTGGTATGGGCCCATGGTCCTTGCCAAAGCCAAGCAGTCCCCTGAGGATGGAGGCCAGTCCCCACAGGAAGGCACAAGTAGACAGAAACAGATAGCCTCCAGCCAAGGAAGCCCGGAGGGCCCTGGGGAGAAACCTAGGTCCTGCCCGGGAGGCCTCACACCACTTGATACTCAACTAGAAACTGTGAAACTCCAGGCAACAAGTGGAAGAGAAATTAAGAGCAGGAAGGGGGAGAGACAGGAGGCAGATCCCAGGAGCAGGCAGGCCAGTTCAGAATACAGAGACCTTGGGTCCCTTCCATAGGCTGGCAGTGGTCACAGGCAAGAGAAGAATTCTCCAAGACGAACAAAGAGAGACCAGGAGAATCACAGGGAGTGTCCACCTCGCTGGACTGCTCAGGTCCCACTGGCGACTCACCCGAGTAGGTCCGTCTTGGAATGTAGGCTCTGGTGCGCGATAAGGTGTGCACGCTGCTTGAAGCTCTTGTCACACTCGCCACAGCCAAAAGGCCGCTCGCCCGTGTGCACACGCTGGTGGTCCAGCAGGTAGGAGCGCAATGAGAAGCTCTTCCCGCACTCGCTGCAGCCGAAAGGCTTCTCCCCTGTGTGGATGCGCTGGTGGTCTGCCAGGTAGGCGCTCCGGCTGAAGCTCTTGCCACACTCAGAACAGGAGAAGGGCTTCTCGCCCGTGTGCACGCCCTGGTGACGCACCAGGTCCGAAGAGCTGCGGAAGCTCTTGTCGCATTCAGGACATTTGTGTGGCTTCTCACCAGTGTGTGTTCGCTGGTGCCGGGCTAGGTCTGAGCCCCAGCGGAAGCGCTTCCCGCACTGCCCGCAGCTGTGCGGCTTCTCAGTCACTAAATCCTGACACTGGCGCCTGCGCGTGGGCGGCCGCCCCCGATGCGCCTCCACCAGCGGTCCCACGGCTGTCCTCGGTGGGTTCTTGGTCTCCCAGACCTCGGTGTCAGCCTCCTCGGGATTGCAGGACATAGTCACTTCACAGTTAGTCTGTCCCGACATTGTTGTCACAGCCTCCTCTGGAGATCTCTTGTTCTGGCTTTTGGATCCCAAACCTGCAAGGTGGGGAGAAGCCTCTTTAGTGTCCCTTGACTCTGGGACGGGAAGTTTTGAGATTCAGGCTGTTGCTGCCCAGACTTCTGTCCTACAAAACGACCATATGGGCGAGCAAGATGGCTGAATGGATACAGTCACCTGCTGTCAAGCCTAACCACCAAGCCTGAGCTTTGTCCCCCAGAACCTACATTGAGAAAGGAAGGAACAACTACAGAAAGCCGTCCTCTGACGTCCACGCATGCACCTCTCTGTACTGCACACAAAATAAAAATATTAAAATATAATTTTATTTTAAAAGTCCATTTTATTATTATTTTTTTTATTTTATTTTTAGTTTTTCGAGATAGGGTTTCTCTGTGGCTTTGGAGCCTGTCCTGGAACTAGCTCTTGTAGACCAGGCTGGCCTCGAACTCACAAAGATTTGCCTGCCTCTGCCTTCCAAGTGCTGGGATTAAAGGCATGCACCACAGCGCCCGGCTAAAAGTCCATTTTTTAATGGGAAGATAATAAAAGGGCAGCAAAAGAACAGCTCTGAGGTAGCCTTAGGGAGCCGCTGAGCTTATCCTTCCATAGAAGCAACTGCTGTTACAAAGACCTTCTGCCTGTTCCCCACCTGTGGCCAGTGTCACTCACCACAGCTGAAGCCAAGGGCTCATTCCCTGCCTGTAAACTGAAGGCACCGGCGTGTGTAGCTAGTGCGGCCCCTCATTCCTTAGGCTCCAGCGTTGCAGACACAACACACAGCAGCCTTGGTCAGAGAGGAACCCCAACCCACTCACAGTGCCGCCACATAAGTAAGATGCTGAGAGTGTGAGTTCAAATATTGGGGTGCAGCTAGCTTGCTTTTGTTTTGGTTTTAGCATGTCTGTGGCTGACAGGACCCATCAACCTCACTGTATCTCAGAATGCTGTCTGGGGACAAACATTCCTAAGCACCAGACTGAGGTCTGACAAGAAAATGCCCTTCCAAGCCCTCAGCATGGCACCCTCAGCGTGGCGCTGGCACAGAGAACACTGGTCAGCTGGTCACAAAACCCACAGAGATGTGTCACTTGAGCATCACAGGAGACTGTTGAGGAAACTCATAAAAGGCTAGCTTTAGAACTTGGTTAGGGAAGGGTGGGAGGAAAAGCCGGGATTACAGCAGAAAGAGGGCCCCATAGATCTGCTTACTGGGAGCAGCATTCCGGGAGTTCTCTCTCTTTATGTCCCAGAAGAGATCCCTCTGAGCAGGGTCCAGGGAGCCCCATTCTTCTCGGGAAAAATAGAAAGGGATGTCTTCTGATGCCACAGGTTTTTGGAATGGGGAGCTATGACTCAGCTGAGGTCTCCCAGGCAGCTGTGAATGGGGACAGGAGGGGTCAAATTATATGTTCACCTGCACCAAGTCCTCTGAGGGAACAAAGGGACTGCTAACTCACAGGCACTGCGGAGGCAAAGGAGACATCCGTCGTCTCTCCTGTCTGTCCTTCTTTAAGAACAGGAAGCTCGGCTGAAGGCAAAGAACAGAGCTTCATACAGGTCAAGGGCCGAGACTGACGGCTTCATCTACACTTGCACATGAACACACACACCAAATGCAGCACAAGCGTGCTCATGTGACTGGGCTTCCCTGTGCCTGTGACCCTCAGGGCAATTGTAGAGAAGAAACCTAGGCCCTGTGTAGCCACACTGCTGATCAAAGAGTCTTACTCACCATGGCTGTGCTGCGCTTGGGGTGCAGGGAGCTGCTTCTGGGGAGGCCGAGGAGTTTGGAGTGCCTGGCTTGCTGCCTTAGGCTCCACTTCAGAGGGCTCATCCTGTGCAGTAGCAGTAACAAGCCCATTAGCACAGATGGGGGGGGGGGGAATGGGAGGAGGTAGGAGACACACCCATTAGGAACCTGAGGGTTGCGTGGGGCAAGAGATTAGATGGAGACCCAGAAAAGACCAGTGAAGAATGTGACACTTCCTGGTCAAGAGGCAAGAAACAATCCCTAAAAGGCTAAAGTTACAGCTACTTAGCAAAGGAGAAAAGTGGGTGTGGTGTGGGGGAGGGGGGCCCTCCTGCCAAGGCAGAATCCCACACCCTGGCTGATCATTAGCATATCCCCAGGGGCTCCCAATGTCAAGGACTCAAGACTGCTGGGTACCCTTGACTTAAGACTTGTCTTTCAGAAAAGCATCCTGTGCTGCACTAGGATTGTGTGTGTGTGCGTGTGTGTGTGCGTGTGTGTGTGTGTGTGTGTGTGTGTGTACTTCCCTGGACTTGGTGTTTCCCTGTCCCTGTAGAGATTTGTCTCCATGAAGATGGCCTCAACTCTTTAGGCTCCTAGACATGGAAAGGACCTTCACCTGTGGCCCGGCTTTCAACGACTGATTCTGTATGTCCTCCACCAAAGCGACAGCTTCCTTGCCGCTCCCAAGGTGCCGTCTCTGTATCTGGGCTTGAATCTCCCCTGGCAGCACAGCCAGGAACTGCTCCAGCACCAGCAATTCCAGGATCTGCTCCTTGCTGTGCAGCTCCGGCTGCAGCCAGCGGCAGCAGAGCTTCCAGAGCTGGTTGAAGGCTTCCTGTGGCCCAGCCACATCCCGGTAGCAGAACTGACGGAAGCGCTGGCGGCAAGCTTCTGAATCCTCACTGTCCACCTGCTGGGCAGGTTCCTGCTCCCAAGAGCAATCTTCCACCTTCACAATCAGAAGTCCTTCTTCCTCCCCAGGAGCATGGTCTTGAAGCTCCCGGAAGGATGCCATTCCCTGGCCTAAGTCAACCCTAGCCTGGGACTCCACAGCCGACCCTTTCAGTCACCCAGAGGGGCTCTCGGTGACAGCTGGGCCGGCATCAGGACACATATGCCTACGGAAAGAGCAGAGGAACAGTATTTGAGGAAGAGTGGAATACGCCAGCCTGGAACAAAGTCTAGGGATCTGGCACCTTAGCCTTTTGTACCTCTAAAGCTCTTTAGGCTTCACTGTCTCTATCAGACCCACAGTCCTTTATCACTACATCTGACACCCCAAATCTGGGCCGTAAGAACCTAACCTCACTCATTTGGAAGCACTTCTGCTGATATGGGCATATTTGTATCTTCATTTATAGTAACTGTTCAAGCTTAGTAGCAGAATTAAGTATGTCTATGCAGTCTGGAGATTGATTCCCTGAGCTCGCTGTGGCTGTGGCTCAGTTGTTACACTGGTTGCCCAGCACTACTTTAAACAGGGTGGGATGGTACAGACTTGCAATCCCAGCACTCGCTTGTCTTCAGCTACATCAAGTCTGAAGCTAGCCCTGGATACAGGATATCCTGGTGTGTGTGTATGTAAATCAGTGAGGGCCAAAGGGAGAGCTCAGAAGTTAAGAGCATTTGTTGCTCTTTCAGAGGACCCAGGTTCCGCTCCTCCCAGCACCTACGTGGTGGCTCACAACTCACTGTAACTCCAGTTCTTGGTGACCCAACCCCCCTTTCTGACTTCCTCAGGCAACAGTTCTGCCGATGATATACACACATCTATGCCAGTAAAACACTCATACACATAAAATAACTAAAATCTAAAGAAAAAGCTTCAATCACTGAGCTATTCTTTCTTTCTTTCTTTGGTTGGGGGAGAGGGTGGCATTTCAAGACAGGGTTTCTCTATTTTCTCTATGTAACCGTCCTGGCTGTCCTGGAACTCGCTTTTTAGACCAGACTGGCCTTGAACTCACAGAGATCCTGCCTCTGCCTCCTGAGTGCTGAGATTAAAGCCTGTGCCACCAGCACCCAGCATCACCGAGCTACTCTTAAGGTATGTTTTTCATCATAAAGGCCGTAAAATTTCACTGGATGTAGTGGTACATGCATGGTGATATATATCTGGAATTCCAGAACTGTAAGGAACAAAGCCAGAGCGCCCAAAGTTAGAGACCAATATGGGATATAGAGCAAAACTGTCTCAAAAAATTACAATTTTTGTGTTTAATTATGAATGTTGTCTCGAGTCCCTTCACTGATAGACCACACTGTCATTTTTCTCAAATTTGAAAACTCACAAATCTACAGGGCTGGAGAGATGGCTCAGTGGTTAAGAGTCTGTGTTTCTCCGCAGAGGCGGCGGATTAAATTCCCAGCACCAACAGGGAGGCTCAAAATCGGTTTTTTTAATTCTAATCACTGGGCATTTGTCGCCCTCTATTGGCCTTCTCAAACCCTGCATGCATGTAATGCACAGGTAGGCAAACAATAAAGACAACATAAAATAATCTTAAAAAAAAAAAAACAAAACTTATAAATCTTACAAATTCCAGAAACTTCTTATTCCAGATACAGGGTGGTATCAGATACCTCATGGACATCATTCACTCACAACTATATATGAATGTATGGCATGTATTTGTATTTTATGTTGCTACTGCTTCACAATATTCTCAAAAGTGTAACTTGAATTTTTGCCCTTTTTTGTCTCGACAGTCTAACTAGCACGAGCATCATAATTTAAAAAACGAGAAGGGAATGTTAATATACCAAGACATGTTTCTTTTGATTCACTAACAATCTCATATATACGGTCCGCATTTTTCCCTGTGCTTTTACTGAAAATTGTTAGCTTCAAAATCGACAAGTGCTTTATGTGTGCTTTACATAAATGAATCTTATGCGCATACCACTTTGGATTTTGTGTTTTTCAATTAGCAACGTTTCTTCATTAGTAGAAGGGGGTGCTGCAGTTTCCGAACCAACCCGAGTGATGCATCCGGGCGATTTCCAATTCTCCACTACTACAAGCACTTTATTTACGCTTCTCCTGTCGAGCCTTCTGCCTCATCCTCCAGGGACCGAGGAGACGTCCTCGAAGAGGGCCCGGACTCACCAGGGTCGCTCGGCAGGACGTGGGAAAAGGGGACGGTCCCAGCAGCCTGGCGAGAGCGACGGGGACCCGGAGTGCAAGGAGCCGCCAGCGGCCGCGCTGCCCAGAGGAGCGCGTCCCCTCCGGCCTGCGCCTCGGGCGCCGAATCCGCAGGAGCCCGACCGCTCACCACGACGCCCCGGTCCCGCCCCCAGGACACACCGCCCCGAGCCGCCAGGTGGTCGGAGCTTCCCCACCAGCTCCCGGAGCCGGAAGTCCGCGCGGAGATCGCTGGGAAGCCAGCAGGCGCATGCGCGACGACCAGCGTTGGCACTCCTACCATCCCGAGCGCCGCTTGTCAGAGGTGGCTGGCCAATCGACAGGGAGAATTCCCACGGCTGGCCAATCTGGGAAACCCTAGGCTTTGGCCAAGTCTCATTTTCGCCTTCTGGGTCGCACTTATCCTAAATCGGGTCCTTGGGAAATCTCGGAGCTTCCTAGAAAATGGAATCTAATTAAAGCGGAACCTTCATCCTGGGCACCATCCCCCTTCCCACCTACCGGCATTTCCATCTGTACTGAGCTCAGGAGCAGAAGTCCTGATGCCTGGGGACACTGAGCTGGAGGCCCACCTCTGCCTGGACCCCTGCATTGTTACAATATTGATGTTAATGGTGAGTTAGCTTTATCTTGTAAACATCTTTGATGTTTATTTTCCTATAAATAGACAAGGGCAGTTTGACTCCGTGTGACAACCGTTGGACTCTCCCTGTAGCCCCCGTCGCCTTGAGCAAAAGGATTGTTAATCACACACCCAGCCGGAGTAACCAGCTATCTGGAACGCCCACTCAGTGGACACCTTGAGAAAACTACACGTAGATAAAAGCTGAGGAGCCTCCCCCAGGGCAGTTCTTGCTATCTCCGGCTTCTGAATTCTTCCACCAAGGCTACAAAGGGAGCACTTCTCTCTGTTGTGACTGTCCAAACACCCCTCCCCGCGGCGTATAAGCAGACCCACTGAGTGCACAGCAGACTGGGAGACACTAGTGTCATCTCTCCTGGTGTTGCTATGTTAGTCCCAGGGAAACTCTTGAGTGGTCTTGGCTAGTTGGAGTAGTAAAGGCTGAGCTGGTAACACAGTGACAAGAAATAGAAAGAACTGTAAAAAAAAAGAACATTAAGAACCAGGGTGATGGTGCACACCGCTAAGCCCAGCACTTGGGAGGTTGAAGCAGGTGGGCTCTAAGTTTGAGGACAGCCTGGTCTACAAAATAAGTTCCAGGACTACACAGAGAAGCCCCGTCTGCCAATAAACAAACAAACAAACAAATTAATAAAATAAAGTGTTTTTGCATTGGTGTGTGGCTATGACTATCTCCTTTTCAACTTGGAAAATCTAAACTACCCCATTAAACACTGTCTTAGGGTTTCTGTGTCTGTTATAAAACACTACAACCTTAAACGACCTTGGGAGGAAAGGACTTATTTCAGCTTAGAATTCTCAGGCCACACTCCATTGCTGAGGGAAGTCGGCAGGAACTCAAATAGAGCAGGAACCTGGAGGCAGGAGCTAATGCAGAAGCCATGGAGGATACTGCTTACAGGCTTGCTCTTCATGGCTTGCTCAGCCTGCTTTCTTAGAGCATCCAGGACCACCAGCCCACGTACTACCCACAGTGAGCTGTGTCCTTCCATACTAAATATCAATCCAAAAAAATGCATCATAGGCTTGCCCACAGGCCAACCTGGTGGGGGTCATTTTCCCAATTTAGGTTTATTCTTTCAAAACAACTCAGGCTTGTGTGAAGCTGATATAAACAGCCACGGTTAAACCCTGATGTGCAAGAACCTCTCTTAGCCCCCTAATAACCACCGTACTTTTTGTTTGCTTGTTTGGGATGTTTGGTTTTGTGTTTAAAGGTTTGTTTATGTGTGTGGTGGAGTACAGTGGAGCAAGAGAGTACAGCATCCCCTGATGCTGGAGTTACAGGTGGATATAAGCTGCCCAGCATGCATGCTGGGAACCACACAGAGGTCCTGTGGAAGCACTCCTCACTGATTAGGCCATTCTCCAGCCCCAGCTGCTTGGTTTGGGGATCTTTGAAACAGTCTCACACAGCCCAGGCTGGCCTAAACTTAGCTATGTAACCAAGTGTCGTAGTGACTTTCTATTGGTGTGGTGCGATGAAACACCATGACCAAGAGTTAGAGTCCATGACCATCACAGCGAGGAGCAAGGCAGCAAGCAGGCAGGTTTGGCACTGGAGCAGTGGCCGAGAGCTTACATCTTAGTCCACAAGTAGAGAGAGCGAGATAGCAGGGATTGATGTGCCCTCAAAGATCCCATGGAAGCACTCTTAACCACTGAGCCATTCTCCAGCCCCAGTTAGAGCCTCAAAAGCAAGTGGGGTTTCTTGGGGTGTGTGTGCTTTGTTTTGCTAATTTTACATTTACTTGGGGAGTGTGCACGGAGGTCAGAGAACAAGTCTCAGGAGTCGGTTCTCTCCTCCACTATGTGGGTCCGGGGGGGCAGAACTCAGGTCCTTAGGCTTGACAGCAAGCACCCTTACCTGCTAGGCCACTTCACCGGTCCATCTTTTGACATTTTTCCTCTGCATTGATAATTTATGTGCAAGGTTCCAAATGTAAAGTGCTTACAGCGAAATCTCCTCTTAGTCCCCCTCACCTGCATCTCCTTTCTAGACACAAACAGTGCCATCCACTGCAGAGGTATTTTATTTACACTCAGTCCAAAAAAATGTATTTAAGTGGATCCTTTTCACTCTGTAGGTGTGTATGTATGTGTGTGTGCGCACACACATGTATGCGTGTGTGTGTGTTGTACATATGTGAGTGCAGGTGTACCTGTGGCCCCCCCCCGAAAAAAAAAGGTCAAGTAAGGTGAGGAGTGAAGACGCGCCGTGTTGCCCATCAGAAGGACAGACAGCTCTGGATGGAAAGAGCCCCTGAGCTGTGGTTTAGGAGAGCTGGGCTTCTCATGTGTGTTGTGGAGAATCCCTGATTCATTCGTGTCCCCCAAGCCTGATCACAGTGTTGCTTGATCATATGTAACTTGTATGACTTGAAGGCTAGCCACCTTCCTCAAGGGTTTCAGGGTCTTTGTGCAGAGCCTAGGACCTCTGGCTCTCCATAGGTAGTGAGTCTACGATTGCTTCCTGTCATCTGAGCTGCCTGTGTCATCCTGAAAGATGATACAGGTATCCAGGCTTCCACAGCTTCCTGCTCAGATTCCCCTGGCTGCTTCCAAGCAGGACTTCCGGGTACCCCCTGCTCCCATTCCCCACCCCACTGCCACCAGTAGATGGCCCATAGTGTGAGCTCAGTTTCAGCGACAACAGAAGCTGGCTTGAGAAAAGAGAATGTTGTTTATTCCACAAAGCAGATCTGCCGCGGACTGACTCTCTTGGAAGACCGAAGGAGAACAGGGGTGAAGGCTTAGGAGAACCCAGGATTCGGCGAATGACAGACAGACACAACTCTAAAGAGATTTGAATCTGCTGCAATTTTACTAAAATTCAAGCATTTTTATCAGATTACAGAAGGAAGTTGGCAGACATAAAAGCTTACATAGAAAAATGATTACAGGCAGTTGATTATTCTCAGCAAGTCTTGTGGTCAGGGCAAGGTGGGCAGAGCTTTTCTTTGAAATTCGTCTCACACCACTAATTAACTGCACTTTTTCATGGCCCTAAATCATATCTGCCCTCAAGGTAACCAAGGTAACCCAAACACCATTCTTCAGGATTCCACCCCCAGGGTTTGCTCCAATAATGAATGGCTGGCTTCATGTTATCAAGAATAGCCTGCCTTTCTTCCCTATCTAAAATGCACCAGGGGTTTGCTACAAACTCTCACTCTGGCTCTTCTGGCCCTCTGTAGCAGCTTTGATGGTTCCCCAAAGGCAGGATGGAGCTGCCCAGAAGGCCCGGGCTGGCTAATTCTCAGAAACATGAGTCTGATGACCAAACCCATTTGGGGATCTTCAGGAGAGCATCAAGCCCAGAGAGTACTGCATCTTCTAAATCTTAGAAGGCCAGGGTGGGCGAGTAGGAGAGCTTAGAAGGGGCAATCCTGTGTCACTGAACCTATCTCTCCAACAACAGATGGCCCAGGAGGACTAGGCAAGCTTTTAAATCCCAGCCTGGGACAGGCCCAAGATACTAAAAAATCTTAGTGCAGTTTCTGGGCTCAGGGTCCCTGCAAAACTGGCAGTCAAAATCTAGAAGGTGCAGAGACTCAAGTCCTCAGATCCATCAGAAGAGCTCAAGGCCCCTCTAAACAGGTTCAGCAGCTCGATAGCTCCAACTAGTCTGTCCAGCAGACCTTATACCTACCTCCTATCTTGTCCTAAATGTCCCTGGGTTCCAGCTCAGTCCTCTAGGCTGTACTGCAGCCAAAAGTCTAAAGGTCAGCCCTAGCTCCTCCTGTCCAGCCAATTGAGGAGAGTTCTGAATCACCCGCTCCCTCCTCATCCAGAGATCATACCACTGCCTTGCCTGCCACAGCTCCAGAGCCCTTCCCGGCTCCCACGCACAATTTACTGCTCCGCGATGCGGTGTCCGGGTGCATCCGCTTGAGAGAGTGGGTTACATGTGAACCCTTCCACTCCATCCGGTGGTCACTCACAAAACTCCAAACCCGGAACAAAGCCCTATCTCTCACCCTCCTTCCAGATGCTGGCTCTGCTGGATCCACACGTCATTCATCTCCCGCCTCTGTTTTTGAAAGCCAATTTCACCTCAGGACTTTTTGCAGAGGTCACACAAAAGAACGGCTGTTCAAAAGGTAGTGTTGGTTGTTTTCTTTTTCATTTTGTTTTCCGTCAATCGAAAGCAAAAATTGCAAAGAATAGAACTCACCCTAGTGGCAGCGAGCACCCCAGTATAAAGAAGCCACTGAGGGGCCGCGGGCAGTACCCCCAACCCCAAGAAGTCACATTGGTGGGAGCCGGCCTCACTGGCTTCTCAGGCTGCAGCGGCTCCTCGGGTGTGGCCACAAGATGGCAGTGTCGGCCACGCTGTCCCGCAGCTCCAGGGCCAGCAGCCTGGCTTCAGGACTGAGTAGATGCTGAGAAGTAATATTGTTCTAGAGGTCTTTTGTCACCTGACTTAGTTTTTGGACGCCTTTTTGAAAAAGAGTTCTGAGAAGAAAACAGGGTCTGATTTTACACTGCCAGTGACTGGTCAGCCCTTCTGGAATTCAAAATAATCCAACTTCAAAAATACTCCAAAAATCAGCTTGACAGAATCTAGAACTAGAGTCCAGAACAGAATCAGGATCTAGACGGAGATGTCCCAGAGGCAGAGGATCCAAAGTCAGTCGCAAACCACAAGCTGATAACCTTCAGTGTTTACTCATGGGCAGGCGCAGACACAGTATCTTCTTTAGCCCTTACATAGCCCAGAGCCCATGCCCAGCCCCACACCACAGAGAGCAGAATCTCCAGTGTTGGGAGCTATAGATCCCCGGCCCTTGACTTTCTTTGCCTGCAGCTGCTCTGAGCACAAGACCTTGATGGCAGGGGAGTGGGTTCTGATGAGTCTGCAGCTGAGAGATCCCCAGAGCTGGGCTTGGCTAGGGGTTTCTATATCAGCTGCCCCTGAGCACAATAAAGTGGCATTGGCACTCTTGTATCAAGAGTGGCCATGTCTCTGCCTGTCTCTCTCTCTGTATGACTCTCTCTCTGTGTTTGTTTCTGTTTTTAAGTCTCAGCTTAGTTCCTGGCCTGTGCAACCGTTTTGAGTTTTTATTCTCCAACATTAGAATCTCCAGGGCCAGTACACTAAGAGATGGTGATGAGAACGGTCTGCTGCCCAAAATGTGGATTTGTGGAGAAAAGTGTAAAGTCCCATGGTCTGGTCCTTCACTGTCCACCACAAAGAGGGACTGGGCTTGTGAAACCTCCAGAGCAAGGCCCTGTGGGGTGACTTTCCAGGTAAGGACAACTGACAGCCTGTGCTCCATCCCCGGGACCCACGTGGTGGAAGGAGAAAAGTGATTCCCCTAAGTCGTCCTCTGAACTACAGAGAGAGACAAAACCAGAGAGCCTCATGGAAAAATAAAAATTATAAAAGCAAATTCACGGGCAGGTCGGGGGATTAGCAATTCTGTAGGAGATTTCTTGAGGCAAGAGGGACCCTGGTGCCTATCTCTTCTGGGCTCCTTCACTTCCAAGCTCCCAGATTCCTGTTTCCAAATCATTCTGTAGGTTCATAACATTGCCTTTCATTGGCCTTCCACCTAAGTGAATATTGTTCAAATAGATAAGGATACAGGACCATAAAGGGTCAGATCACGATGTGAATAACCCAGCCACTGGGAACATTCACCTTGAACAAATACAATTCGGATGGCTGGGGATAAAATGAAGTACAATAATATCACAATCATCTCTGCCTTAAGGAGGCCTTGGTGGCTCATAAGAAAGTGAGCTACATTAACAGAGAGATGTACAATGCCTTAGGTTTTTGGAAAACAGAATTCAGAGGCCAGGCAGTGGTGTCACACACCTTTAACCCCAGCATTCAGGAGGCAGAGACATACAAATCTCTGAGTTAGAGGCCAGCCTGGTCTACAGAGCAAGTTCCAGGACAGCCAGGGCTACACAGAAAAAACCCTGTCTCAAAAAAAACAAAAACAAGGGCTGGAGAGATAGCTCAGTGGTTAAGAGCATTGCCTGCTCTTCCAAAGGTCCTGAGTTCAATTCCCAGCAACCACATGGTGGCTCACAACCATCTGTAATGAGGTCTGGATAGCTGTATACATAATAAATAAAGAAAGAAAAAATTTAAAAAAAAAAAAACAAAACAAAACAAAATTAAAAAAACACACAAAAACAAAAAAAGAATTCAGGTTGGAGAGAGAGATCAGTCTATAAAGCTGGAAACACAGCAAGCTCCAGTCCCAGTAAGAGACCCTATCTCAAAAAAATGACACCCGAGGTTGACTTCTCACGAACAAACACACAGGCAAAAAACGCAATGGCAATCACTGAAAGAACCCTCTCTCTGTGCCATGCTTAAGAAGAAATTAAGAACGTCCACTGGTTTTTTTTTTTCCTGGTGTGTTTATTTACACTGGCTCAGCAAATACATTGATCCACAGACTATAGCTAGAGGCCAAGGTCAAGTCAGCGTGTTTGGTTTTGGTGGTGGTGTTGTGGGTTTGTCATTGTATGATTGTTGTTTTAAGGTTTCAAAAGTTTTTTTTTTTTTTTTTTTTTTTTTAAAGACAGGATCTTCTTTGTAGTCTTGGGTGGCCTGGAACTTGCTATGTAGACCAGGCTTGCCAAGGGCTGGGATTGAAGGTGTGTGCCACATGCCCAGTGCATTTATTATTTCAACTTGCTATATTTTAATGAATATGCTATTTTATGTTTGTTTGGTTTGGGTTTTTGTATCAGAGTTTCTCTGTGTAGCACTAGCTGTCCTGGAACTCACTCTGTAGACCAGGCTGGCCTCGAACTCACAGAGATCTGCCTGGTCTTTGCCTCCCGAGTACTGGGATTAAAGGTGTGCCACCACCCGACAAACGTGCTATTTTTAATGAATTTTGCTGGGCATCACCTGTGAGCTGGTTTTGAAGCAGTCCATCGGTTAGTATAGCAGCTAGCCAACAGCTTCTTTCCCTTCCTTGGAGCCGACTCTGCCAGAGTAGGCAGGCTTCATTCTATTCCCCTTTGTGCTGCTGGCTATGTCTGTACAGCAAACAGAAACTGTTTCCAGAGTTAGAGAGACAGCTCAGTCTTGGGGGGAACTGGCTGCTTTTTTAGAGGATCCAGGTTCAATTCCCAGCACCCACACATTAGCTCACAACTGTCTGTAACTCCAGTTCCAGGGCTCTGACGCCCTCTTCTGGCCCCCACGGGCACCAGCCATGCACCTGGTATACTGAAATGCATAAAGACAAATATTCATACGCATAAAAAAGAAAATGCTGCCGAGTGTGGTTGTGTTTGATCCCAACACTTGGTAGACAGAGGCAGGTGAATCTCTGAATTCAAAGCCAGCCTGGTCTACATAGTGAGTTCCAGGACAGCCAGGGCTGTGTAGAGAGACCCTGTCGCCAAAAAGAAGAAAGAGAAAGAGAGGGAGGGAGGGAGGGAGGGAGGAAGGAAGGAAGGAAGGAAGGAAGGAAGGAAGGAAGGAAGAAGGGGAGAAAAGTCCCACACTTGATAAATACACATAAAACACTTGAGCCAGGCAGTGAGTGATGGTGCAGGTCTTTAATCCCAGCATTTCAGAGGCATAGGCAGGTGGATCTCTGGGAGCAAGTTCTGGGACATGTTCTAAAGCTACACAGAGAAACCCTGTCTCAAAAAACAATAACAACAACAACACAATTTTTGGTTGTTTTCAAGACAAGTTTTCTCTGTATAGCCCTGGCTGACCTGAACCTTGTTCTGTAGACCAGGCTGGCCTCAAACTCAGAGGTCTGCCTACCTCTGCCTCCCAAGTGCTGGGGATTAAAGGCGTGTGCCAACAACGCTGAGCACATAGATATATATTTCTATAATCAGCTGGGGGTTTTTTTTTTTACTATGCCAAAAAGTTTACTAGTTTTTACATGTCAAACTTTAATATGAATATACACGTACAGAATTAAGCACAAACCGTACGAAGACAAAATTTAATTATCTGAATCAAAAGAGTAAATAAGTAAAAGCTGGGCCTAGTGGTATACACCTCTAATCCCATCATGTGAAAGGCAGAGGGCAGAGATCGCTACACGTTCTAGTCCAGCCTGATCTCTCTAGAGAGTTTCAGGCAAGCCAGGGTCACAGCCCTAAGAGCCCCGGTGAGGTGAGGCAGCTGACAGGAGTCAGTGAGCAGTCTTTGGTTCCTCTGAGGGTGGAGCATGAAGACTGGAAGACTGAAAAACAGGACCACTTAGGAACAGTAACCGGAACGGTTGCCTGGACAACCGCGCTGCTAGATAGCAAGCTGCTTGGACTAGAGTCGACGGTGATTGGCTGGTTTTCCTGGCGTCCATCTCCCTGGCAACTGACTGGCTGAGGACAGGGAGGGAGGGTTTCCGGTGTGGAAAAGTCGTGGTCAGACAGACTCCTGACCCCATCAAGAGCTCTAGGGAGTTAGCGGTCCTAGCCCAGAGCTGCATCCACAGGCCTCCACCTCTACCCGACTCTTCTTCTACCAGGACCTTGAGCCTTGGTGCAGGAAGCTCAGAAGGAAATGTGTTCGCTGTCCTTGCTCTTCTCAGTAGCACACTAGTATACTAGGCGTTCAGCTGTGGCCATGAGCCCTCAGATATCAAGACCCTCGTCAGGCTTCCTACCTTCTCGTGACACCCCACCACCCACCAAATCATCAGCTCCCAAGGTGCCACTCTTTTCTTTTAAATTATTTATTATGCATACAGTATTCTTTCTGCATATATGCCTGCAGTCCAGAAGAGGGCACCAGATCTCATTACACCATGTGGTTGCTGGGAATTGACCTCAGAACCTTTGGAAGAGCAGGCAGTGCTCTTAACCAATGAGCCATCTCTCTCGACCCGGTGCCACTCTTTTCTGAACGCACTGGCATCCTGTCCCCCCAGTGCACCAGGCATCCAGCCCGAGGAACTGAAATCACAGCCAACAATAGCCATCCTGCAAGTGAGTCAGTACGCTAAGGTCCCGTGGATTCCCACAAGTCTTTGCAAGCAGTCCCTGGCCATCATTAAAGGGTCCTAGGAAAGAAGCTCATCTCACAGGTGGAAGCCCCCTCAGCCCCTCACTCTGAGCCACAACAGAGACATTCCATCGCTGGCTGAGTGACATTTGTCCACAGACAAGAGAGAGGAAAGACAAGAGCAGTCTGTCTTTCTGGCCTCCGACAAAGGACCCTCTAGCCAGGTGTGGTAGCTAGAGCACATCTGTAATCCCAGAATTGTGGGCAGAGCCAGTGGTTAGTGTCATCCCTAACTACACAGTGAGTTTCAGGTCAGCTTCAGCTAGCTGAGATCCTGTCTAAATAAAACCTTTGGTTGAGACAGGGTTTCTCTGTGTAGCTCTGGCTGTCCTGGAACTTGCTCTGTAGACCAGGGTGGCGTTGAGCTCAGAGATCCGCCTGCCTCTGTCTCCTAAGCAAGGTTCAGGATAGCCAGGGCTACACAGTAAGACACTGTCTAAACAAACAAACAAACAAAATAAAATAAAAAAAAACCGCAACAAGCTTGCCAGAGCTGATCTGGCAGACCTGTCACAAATTCACAGCTGTGTGACTTGTGATTCAGGGACCGGAGAGATGGCTCAGCGGATAAGAGACAGACGTGTGGGCAAAACACCAATGCACACGAAACAGACAAATCAATCAAACAAACAAACCAAAACCTTGGCAGCAAACCCAGCCAGAGAGTAGAGGTAAGGTAGACAACACACACAACAGATCCGCTGGCTCTGTCCAAGCCTGGGCAGCCATTGTTACTATTCTCTGTATCCTATTCAAGCTACAGAATTGTTTCCCTTAGAAGGTAGGCACCACCCAGAGGTGCAGACAGCATGCGGTTCCCTGAGGCCTCTCTGGGTATCAGAGCTGAGTGTTCTCGTGGCAGCTGAGCCACAGTGCAGGATAAGCTGGGCCCTGGGTTCTGAAAGGAGCAAATGGAATGGATGCCACAGGCGTTAAGAATCAGAACTTTTGTTCAAAGCCAAATGGGAAGGCACCGCACATTATAAACGGCACACGCCAAGGAAGTGAGCAGCAGGGTTGGTAGTAGCTGCGGAAGGCATGAGAGGGAGAGTGGTCCCTGGTGAGGACTTCTTGTTTTCCCTGGCAGGCCCCAGCATAAGCAGATGGAAGAAATACCCACAAAATAGCCAGGAGCTCGAGGAAGGTGATCCAATTCAGTAGACAGGAAACGAGTTTCCCTGCTCCAGGTTCCCGACATGAAAGCCAAAGGAGGGGATAAGGCTCAGTGAGAGCCAAGGTCCCTTGTGACATGATGCAAGTTGAAGGGACCCCCTTTCCCCGGCTCCACTTTCAGAAGTGACTGGCTGTCTTCCAGCTGGGAAGCCGAACTCAGAGCCTTTGTTTACAGACCTATGGTCCCAAGATGAGCTGGGTGGTTTGCACCTATGATCTAAGTACCTAGGAGGTAGAGGCAAGGAGCATCGGTCCCAGTTACCCTACAGGAAACCTGGTCTCGAAAAACAAAATCAGATGTCTTAGCAGGAAAATACGTCTACTGCCAACCAAGCCTGACAACTTGAGTTCCATATCTGGAGCCCACATGGTGGAGAACCAATTGTAAAAGCTGTCCTTGGACTTCCACGGGTGCAACGTGGCACATGCGCACCCCACGCATACACATATATATAGACACCAACAACAACCACAAAAACTAATTTCCTAAAAAATGTCCCAATGGCAGGGCGGTGGTGGCGCACGCCTTTAATCCCAGCACTCGGGAGGCAGAGGCAAGAGGATCTCTATGAGTTCGAAGCCAGTCTGGTCTACAAGAGCTAGTTCCAGGACAGGCTCCAAAGCTCTGACAAATGGTCCCTGGTCCGTGACAAGGTTAGGCACGAGAGGCTTCCCAGGGCAAAAGTGGTGACTCAGGGACACCTGAGAGAACCAAGAGCTGCCGATGCTCGGAGATCAGCTCAAGACCCGGGCAGATAGAGCGACAGGCCACAGCTTGAAATCCAGGGCCTTTAATCTGCAGCTAGAGTGCTTGCCCTTCTCCCGTCACCATGTCCCACCTGGTGCCAGCACTGCACCTTACAGCTTCCCGCCCTCACCCTTGTCCATCCTACTGGCGAGGATGCAGTGTCTTCCCAGGACCCTAGCACCAGCGAGGACTGACCCAGCTTCCCTGGGTGTTCTCCCTGCTTGCTTGCTCTTTGGCTTCTAAGTGGGAGCAGATGGGGGTGCAGTGAGCGCCCCTACCGCCGCCGCCGCCCCCAGCATGAGCATGGCTAGAGCCTTGGGTCCGGTCGTGTGGATCTTCTCATGCCGGTGCAGGTTGGAGCGGCGGCTGAAGCTCTTGCCACAGAGTGGGCAGGAATAGGGCCGCACACCGCGGTGGGTGCGCTGGTGGGCAGTTAGGTGCGAGCTGTGGCTGAAGCTCTTGCCGCAGTCGAGGCAGTGGTATGGCTTCTCGCCCGTGTGCGTGCGATTGTGCGCGATGAGGTTGGAGCGCTGGCTGAAGCACTTGCCGCACTCCGGGCACGGGTAGGGCTTGATGCCGGTGTGGGTGCGCTGGTGTGTGACCAGAGCAGAGCTCTGAGTGAAGCATTTGCCGCAGATAGGGCACTTGTGTGGCTTGGCACCGGTGTGCGTGCCCTGGTGTGTGACTAGGTCCGAGCGGCGGGTGAAGCGCTTGGCACAGTGGTCACACACGTAGGGTTTCTCACCGGTGTGGATCCGCTGGTGTTGGATCAGTGTGGAGTGGTGGCTGAAGCTCTTCCAACATGAGGGGCAGGTGTAGGGCTTCTCACCCGTGTGGATGATCTGATGCTGGATGAGGTGTGAGCTGCGGCCGAAGCGCTTGCCGCAGTCGGTGCAGGTATAGGGCTTCTCACCCGTGTGCGTGCGCCGGTGCGTCATCAGGTGCGAGTGCCAGCTGAAGCCCTTGCCGCATTGTGTGCACGTGTACATCTTCTTGCCTGTTTCACCGTCAGGGACCAGACCCTCCTCGCCACTTTCCAGGACACCCTTCTCCTCCTCCATGGGCTTCTCTGGACCGCCGTCCTTTGGGGTCTTGAGAGGGCATGTGTTGGGTGGGGATGGCTTTGGCTGCCTGGCTTCTCCAGCGTCTCTGGCCATCTTTGCATCCAGGCCGCTAGCCACTTGCTGACCACACTGTGGCTCTTCCCCTGGAGCCCACCTGGCCCTGGTCCTTAAGGGTTTCTCATCCCCTAGGGTTGCCATGGCTAGGGTTGGTACCAACTTCCCCATTTCCACAGCTCCTGTAAAAAGACAGGACTGCCAGCTGGGAACAACCTTCTGGAGAGCCCGCGAGATGGGAAGGCAGAGCTAAAAACCTGGGAGTCAGGAAAAGGCAAGGGGAAGCCGTGGAACCCCTCAAGACAAGAGCCACCCTCCAGCAGTAGAGAGATCTGGAAAGTCCTGCATCCACACCCACAAGGGGGAGCCCCAAACCCAGGAAGGCATTTGCTAAAGCCCTCACCTGAGCCAAGGCCTCGCCTCTCCTCAGCTCCTGTTGGTCTGCTGGAACTTGCCACCTCGCCCTTCCCCTGAACTTGGGGGACCCAGAAAGGTCTGCTAAACGGAAACCCTGTCCAGAAAGAGAAGTGTGCTTCTGTCCAGTCGTAGAATCACCCCCAAACCACACTTCTCACATCATACCCCTCTCCAGCCCCACTGGACTGTGAGGAAAAAGGGGGAACAAGAGCCTTGGAAACCTAAGGCAAAACAAAAGGCACTCACAAATTCCCTTTAGAGCCAGGCACGGATGCCGGCCCCTAGGAGGCTGAGGGAGGGCCTGAGCTCAAGGCCATCCAAAACTACACAGGTTTGGTGGCGCGTTTGTGGAATTCCAGCACTTAGGAGGTGAAGAAAGGAAGGTTAGGAGTTTAAGGCCATCCTCAGCTACATAACGAGTTCAAGGCTACCCTGCACTATAAGAGACCCTGTCTCATAACAAAATTTAAACAAATGGATAAATAAATAAATTTATTCTTTTAGAAGGGCTGGAGTATGGCTGCGTGGTAAGGTACTTGCCTGTGTGGCTAGGTGACAGGGTGCTTGCCTGTGTGGCTGGGTGACAGGGTGCTTGCTACCAGGGACACACTGTTGTGTCCTTGAGGAGTTTGGTATAGTCAGTAAGAGCAGGGGGCTGTGACTCCCATACCTCAATGGAAGACAGGAATTTGTTAGGTCATTAGTTAGGGCCCGCTTGAGTCTTAAGCGCCCTCTGATGTCCAGGGTTTGCTGGGACTTGTTGGTCTGGGCCCTGGGCAATGCTAACAATGGTAGTGAGCAAACCTGAGATAATTACAGGCGTGAGTGGGGTGGGTGATGTGCCCAGAATGGGTCTCAGGGCCTCCATCCAAGTCATCAACAGAACTGTCAAGGTCACGGGGCCTCCAGCTAAGCCTGTGTGAAGATCCAAGTTCCAACCTTAGCAACCACATTAAAAGCTACAGTGGCAAAAGCTTGTGGTCCTAATGATGGTGTCTGGATACCTGGAGCTCAATGGCTATCAGGCTTAGACAACTTGGTGAGTTCCAGACCAATGAAAGACACTCTCTGGGGCTGGAGAGATGGCTCACTCTCTGGGGCTAGAGAGATGGCTCCGAGGTTAAGAGCACTGGCTGCTCTTCTAGAGGTCCTGAGTTCAATTCCCAGTCAGCAACCATATGGTTGGTGTCTCACAACTATCTGTAATGAGATCTGGTGCCCTCTTCTGGAAAGTGTATATATGATAAACAAATAAATTAAAAAAAAAAAAAAAGAAAGACAAAGACCCTCACTCAAAAAAATCAAAGTGAGCCAGGCAGTGGTGACACACTCCTTTAATCCCAGCCCTAGGGAGACAAAAGCAGGCAGATCTTTAAGTTCAAGGCCAGACTGGTCTACAGAGTGAGTTCCAGGACAGCCAGAGCTACACAGAGAAAGCATGTCTTGAAAAATAAATCAAAAATCAAAGTGGACAGCACTGAAATAGCAACACTCAAGGCTAACCTCTGGTTCTCTCTCTCTCTCTCTCTCTCTCTCTCTCTCTCTCAGGCTAATCTCTGGTTCTCTCTCTCTCTCGCACGCACGCACGCGCACACACACACGCACATACACTGCTTTAGCTCAGGGATTCCACCGTAACCAGTAAACTTGAGGTAGCTACATAATGGATCAATGACAATGAAGAACTGAAGATATCAACTTCTGTCAAGATCGGTTTGGAACTGAGGAATCAAAAGCCTGGACTTAGATGCGAGCCCTCCCCACCCTGGAGGGGCCATCTTGCCCCGTAGGTTCTCTGAAGCAACGGCAATGTTCTAGCTTAAGGACCTGTGAGGGTGGCTGACGGCACATCCGGAAGAGAGGCCATGTCTGAAGCTGGGACTCTGAGAAGGGACGCGGTGGAGCTTGTGACAATGCAGCAAGTCCACACTGTGCGGTGCCACAGCCACCAACCAGCCTGGCTGATGTCTCCTTTTAAATCCCCTTTGAGATAAGTGTCACTGCTTAGCCCTGGCAGGCCTGAACTCCATATGGAAGCATCAATCCCCTAGCCTTTGCCTCTGCCTCCTGACTGCTGGGAGTGTGAGCCATCACACCCAATACTCTGGCTGTCCAAACTCCAATCTGAGCTGATCAAATAAAGTTTAAAATTAATCCCTCCTATCGTGTTTCTAGAACCCAGCAGGCCCTTTGCTTGTGGTCACCATCCTAGGACTGACGCAGGCATCGCCACCTGTGTGGAAGGTTCTGCAGGGCAGTGCTGTCCAGGTAAAGAAGAGAGGAAAGGGGAGCGGAGTGGAGGGGTGGGTAGGGAGGCCACGACAGGCAGCCTTCAACACTCCCGTAGCCACGGAAGGCGCCATGCAGATGAGACCTTACCCAAAGCCAGGCCACCTTTTTCCTGTAGTGCATCCCTGTAGAAATGTTGGTGTGTGTGGTCCAGCCTTCCCCACTCCTCCCGGGAGAGGTACAGAGCCACATCCTCAAAGGTCACCGGCATCTGCAACAACATGAAAACACCACCATTCAGGGTTTGCTGTGGGCGTGGTAAGAAAGATGACAACGCCAGGCCTTCAACCTGCTGCCCCAGTGACCTCATCACTTGGATTAGGCTGGACAGAAGAGCTACCCAGGAGTGGCCTTCTGTGGGAGGTGATGGTTAGGAGCAAGGCAGCATTTTCGGGTACATGGCCACAGCTCAGGCCACCACATGGTCTCCACCCTAAGCTCATCTCTCAGAGAACAGGACAGAGGACAGGACTGATGTGAGCCCACGTGTGAGTGTGAGCGAGGGCTCTCGGGTGGCCCCAGCAGCCCTGCAGCAGGAGGTTCTGATTCCACGCAGGATGGGAGGCAGCACTCTGGAGTCACACGCTGTACCAATCACAGAAAAAACTGATACCATGTGAGGACCAGGAAGAGTTCTGCTCTGTCCAAGCAGGCTGGGGGACCCTCAGGGGACACTCACCTGGGACCAGGCAGTGAGGAGAGCTGCAGCCGCCTGCTGTTCTCTGGTCCTTCTGGCTCGGGAAAGTACAGGAATCCAGGGTAAGGGAAGAACTGTAGGAAGACAGGGTCCTCAGAGCAGCCAGCATCCCAGGCCATGATGCTCCCCCAGTCACCCACTCGAAGGCTGCCAGAATGCACATGGAAATCTGGGGCTCCCCCTCCCTCAGTAAAGCCCTCAACTCTCCCCAGGATGTCTCCCCGAGAAAGTTCACCCTTCTCCTACCTCCACTGGGCAGGAACAGGGCTTTCTCCTTAGAGCCAGGACTCTGGGGCATCCAGCCCTGAGTTCCTAGAGCCCTGTCCTCCAGTGATGCCCCCTCAGGGTGTGGTTCTTCTGGCTCTGCCTTAACATGTGTTGACTCCTGAGAGGTTCCCAAGGGTACTGTCTCCTCCTGCCCAAAGAGCATGTCTCCACAGCACTGCCCGTGACCTGGAACCTAGGAATGACACTCTCTATCAGTGCCGGACTGGATCTCCTGCAGAGACAGCCAGCAAGTAGAATGCACACTCAAACATAAGGCACACTTCAAAGCAGTGATGAAGTTAGCAAGCTTGAGATTAAACCATTGGAAGTTTAGGGTGGGCCCTACATCCAGTGATGCAGATCTTGGTAAGAACAGAAGGCACAGTTAGGTCTGGTGGTGCCAACGTGGGAAGCTGAAGCGAGAGGGTAGCAATGGCCTCCCATGGCTATAGGAGTGTTCAAGGCCACACAAAAAACTTAGCAAAAAAACTTGAAACAAACTTGTTTCAAAAATAAAATTCAAAGGATAATCTAAAATGTAGCTCAGTATGAGACTGCTCATAGTATGTATGAGAAGCAGGGTTCAGTCCTTAGTAACACACGCACACACTTGCACACAAACACACACAGGGCTGCAGAACACAGATCAGTAACAGAGTGCTTGCTTAGGGTCCTAGGTCTGATCCCTAGCACTGTCTAAATACAAAAAAAAAAAAAAAAAAAAAATGAATAAAGGCACAGAGACTGGGAAAATGGCTCAGCAGTCACAAGCACTGACTACTCTGGATGAGCCGAGCTAGGTTTCCAGCATTCATGTTGGACAGCTCAGAACCACCTGTAACTCCAGATTCAGGGAGTCCAATGTTCTCTCTGACCGCAGGCACTTGCACTCACACACACTCCAAACACACACACACACACACACAAATATACATATGAATAAAATTAAGTAAAAAAAAAAAAGAGAGAGAAGGAAGAAAAGGAGAAGGCACAGAGAACAGAGATGGAGCCACATCTCTATGTATATCTACACATACACAGCCCTGAGACTAGCAGAGCCAGGTTCCCTTCCTGAAAGCTTTCCAAGGGCGCAGGGAATTCTAGGACTGTGAGAGAATAAATCTAGGTGGGCTTAAGTCTCTTGGTTAGTGGGAACTTACCAGGCAGCCACAGGAAGCCAACACATCCAGGCTGAGCGATAAAAGAAGGCCCAAATTGCAGGGCTCCAAAGCTTCCCTTGAGCTGGGGATACCCAGTGAGTCCCCACCTAAAACAGGGTCTAACCCGCTGGCCTTCTGCTGGAAGCACGTGCCATTCTCCCTCCCTCCCGTCTGGGACCTTCAGAGTTCCTGGGGCCAGATCCCGTCATACCCACGACTGACTGTGGCCTAGACTCAGCTGCTCTAATGCCTGCCTGAGACAGGAGGAGCTGGTGGCTGAGAGACAGAGGCCTGATCCAGAAGGTTCTGGACGAAGAGCAGTGAAGTATATTGCTGTCGCTCCACTAGGGCGTAGCTGAGGGGATCAGACATCAGAAGAGAACACAGATACACAAGGCTCCTCGGGTGTCAGATCCCCACCTAAAAAGCTGCTGTGGCAGGGACACTGAACACTGGGAACAATTCTTTGGGCTTCTACGTCATGAAAATGGCAGCTCTTGGACTAGCGTATATTTAAATTCACAGCCACAGTGAAACTCGGCGGGACGACCCAAATTCCTGACTGGGTCCAGCAGTTCTGGGTGTTCTCGGTTCATGTATCCCAGTAAACATCAGACACAAGCTGGTCAACTGTTTACAGACGACTCTCACACTCATGATCTCTTTCAGGCAGGAACAGCAAGCGTATGACTCAACTTTACACATAGCAAGAGTAGGTCCCACAGGTCAGGCACTGGCCCGGGGTCACACAGCAGGCCGGAAACTAACTCAGAGTCCCTTAGCTCCAAGCCCAGAGAGCCTCAACCCCCAAAGGTGGCAGGCAACACACACACACACACACACCCCACACGGGCAGGCGGCAGTTACAGGCAGAAATAGAACTCAGTCTCAGAGAGGTAAGCCCTGAGGGGGCATAGCCCAGGAGGAAGTGAGCGGGGAGAAGCCTTTCCCATGTTCTGTGAGCGCCATGCCTCTTACTAGACAGCAGAAGCACACCCACCGTAAGACCCACTGGGAGATATTTCCCATGATGCCGCTCCTCCCCCACAGCCCTGCCCAGAGCCCTCATCTGGAAGCCCCACCCCTACAGTGACTCTCACCTTTCCTTTAGTTCAAATAGCGGTTTTGAAAATCCCCTCTGCTCCATTCCAAGGCACCCCACCCTCCCCAGGACCCCACCATACCGCATGGGTTCTCTGCTCGCTCTCCGTAGCCAGGATGCTTTTACTGTCTGCGGGCATCTTCTGTATCAGAACGAGGAAGAACAGCAGATGGTTCTCTCTCCCCTGCTCGTCAAGCCCCCGCCAGGTTTTAGCCAGGATACTGCAAAAGAGGAAAGAAATCAGTATCTGGGGACACTTCCCAAATGCCCAGCATTCCTTATGTCTGACCAGCGTGCAAATGAGGTCCGCCAGACCCTATGGAGTCCCGTGCTGAATGTATTGTCCCCTTTGTCACTGAAGCAAGAGCCTCAAATCTCAGTAAGCCAGCTCAGGGAAAGTGAGAGCTAAACCGGAGTCAGGGTTTCTTGTCCTAAGGCGCAGAAAGTTCTGCGGAGAGCTTACGAAAGAGTTGCCAGAGAAGTGATGGCTGCCGTGTGCCCCAGCTGGACACGGCTCCGCCTGGAATCCCCGAATCGGCTGCCCACTCCCAGCAGTTCTTTCAAAGTCGCGGCTTCCTCCCTGGGTGTGTGCATCTTAGTCACGATCCGGGTGGGTCCTGTCCTCACCTTCCCCATCCTGGGTTCAGCCTCCTCATTCTCTCTGGCCAGTCTGAAGCCGTCCACCTTTGACCCTGTCCCCTTCTGCAAGCTGACTGCACAAATCGATTTTCAGGAGCCCTCCCAACCGCCTCTTTCAGAGGCAACCGAGGTACCTGGGGAGCCGTGGAGCCCCTCTCCCGGGGGGTGGAGCGGGTCTTTGCAGCCAGAACTGAACGGGCCGGGAAGCCCGGTGGAGGCTGGGATTAGGGACAACAGGAAGTCCCTTCCAGATCCCATTCCCCATTTAAGTGCAGCTTTACAGGGTTCCCAGCTTCGAGGGTTCCGGTTCAGGGGGTCTCCAGCCTCCGCTGCACCTGTCTTGACTAGGGAGATAGGGTCAGAACCATAGTGCTGGTTCACAATGATTACTCTACCCAGCAGTGTTGATGACACTAAGACAGAAAAGCTGAAGACACGCAGGGCTATGGCGCAAACCTTTAATCCCAGCATTCGAGAGGCAGGCAGATCTCTGAGTTCGAGGCCAGCCTGGTCTAGAGCATGAGTTCCAGGACAGCTAGGACTACACAGAGAAACCCTGTCTCAAAACAAACAAACGAAACAATCCAGAAGGTGTGCTTTTAGACAGACTTGAGTGTTTGGTGATTCAAAGATTGTAGTCATCCTTAAAGGAGTGCCATTGTTCTGAGTGGAAGGAGCAGAACGGTTCTCTCCTTCACCCCACACATCGGAAGAGCATACACTGTCTATGGGGCCCCTGGATTCATTTAAGTGGGTGCTCCCAGACTGAGGCAGAGTTCTGGATCCCTGAATGCACTTAGGAAACAGGATTTATTCCTCTGTAGCCCCACCGATGCCCTATGTATCTGCAAGATGAGAGAGAAATTGGATTTGTCGAAACCCACTCAGGTTCTGTAATAGAGGGGTATAGCAACTGTCTCAGAGTGGATTTGAGAAGCACAGGGGGATGTGTGGGGGACAAGTATGATCAAACTACATTGTATGAAATTCTTAGCTAACTAATAAAGATGTTATATATGTTTTGCTTGTTTGTTGAGGCTCTCACTATGTCCTCAAACTGTTTTTTTTTTTTTAATTTAAGACAGAGCTGGGGGAGTAATAGCTCTAGAGTTAAGAGCATTAGCCATTCTTCCAGAGGATCCAGGTTCAATCCCCAGCACCTTCATAGGGGTATTCCTAAGAGATCTGACACCCTTTTCTGGACTCCAAGTGTCCTGAACATGTAACATAAACATATATGCAGGCAATACACAAATAATAACAATAGATTTTTTTAAAAGAGGCTACTCAGTTGTCTAAAAAAGAGGAGTTGTCATCCGAAATCCTGAAACCACCTGGTAGACTCTGTTCCCTCAGACCTCAGGAACTAAGGCTCCAGAGAGGGAAGACAGTGACCGGGCTTCCCATCTCATTGAGATTTCATTGAATGTCCTGGACAGAGCTAGGAAACACTTTATAAATGAGCCAAACATTTAGCTTTATATTTGAATTTGTTTAGTTCCCCCCCCCCCGCCCAGACAGGGTTTCTCTGTGGCTTTGGAGCCTGTAGCTCTGTAGACCACGCTGGTCTAGAACTCACAGAGATCCAGATCCACCTGCCTCTGCCTCCCTAGTGCTGGGATTAAAGGTGTGCGCCAGCATCGCTCGGTTGTTTAGTTTTTTTGTTTTATCTTTTGAGAAAGGGTTTCTCTGTGTACGCTTGGCTGTCCTGGAACTCCCCTGCCTGCCTCTACCACCCGAGTGCTGGGATTAAAGGCGTGCACCACCACAGCCTGCCTACAGTTGAATTTTTTAAACCAGAACATCTGAGTTGGTGAGATGCCTGGCGGTATCTGCTGTGAAGGTATGACGATTTGGGTTTGGTTCCTAGAAACCATATAAAAGTGGAAAAAGGGGACAAACTCCACAAAGTTGTCCTCTATGCTGCACCATCCTCCTGCACTTACACGCACACACTATACATACATACACACATACTACATGCACACATACACACACTACACACACATACATACACATACACACTACACAATGCACACATACACATACTACACACACATACACAGCATACATGCATATGCATACACATGACACACATGCACACATACACATACTACACACAGAGACACACTACACACATACATACACATGCACACACTACACACATCATACACATACTACACACACATGCACACATACACATACCACACACACATACACACACTATACACATACATACATACACATACTACACCACACACATTACACACATGTACATACATATATACACACACTACAGACATGCACACATACTACACACATACACATAAACACACACTACACACAGCACATACTAAACACACATACATACACACATACAATTTTAAAAATCAGAACATTTGGCAACACTGGACCTGTATTCCCTCCATTCATGACCAGTTTTGCTTAAGTGGCCACATCTGATTGGCCCTATAACATGGAGCTGGTATTCTACTCTAAGACTTAGGGATGTTGGTGGGGATGGAGAGGCAGCTCATTGGTTAGGAGCACTTGTTCTTACCGAGGACCCAGGTTGGATTCCCAGCACCCACCAGTGCCTCACAAACTCTGTAACTCCAGTTCCAGAGGATCTGATGCCCCCATCTGACCCCCTTGGGCAGCAGGCACACACAAGTTTAATATATATATACATATATATATATGCAGGTAAAACACACAAAAAAGTAAATGAGAGAGAGAGAGAGAGAGAGAGAGAGAGAGAGAGAGAGAGAGAACATTGGGAGTGAGAGTGGGATGATCATGTAAAAAACATGCTTTAGGAATTTCAGAATCTGGCTTGATTCTAAGGTCAGTATGAAGAATGAGATTTACTCTGAGTTTGTCTCTGGATTGTTTACCCAGGCATTTGAATCCTCTGGTAGAGAGAAATGTACTTAATACCAGTATACCAGTAATACCGGCTCAAACCAGATACATTGTAAACTCACACCCGCACCAAGGGGACCCTGGAATAGAGGACACCCTGTACTCAGTCCATAAGGAGCCGAGAGTATGCAGGGCAAGGGGACTCACTCCTAGAGAAGAGCAAGGTACTCATGCAGTCCCTGGAGTGACCAAGTCCAAAACAGTATTGTGTCCTAACTCCTGGATCAAACTTCTCCACAGTCAAAGAGGCCACTGAGGAACAAGGTGTGCAGAGATGTGGATCCCACCCTGAGGTTGCCAGGAGTAGACCAAATGGTGTCTGAGCAGACTTGGTTGGAGAATGTGTTTTGAGTACTTCATGTACAAAAATTATTAGCCTTCTTTGAAGAACGAGAGGAATACTCTGATTATCTTTTTTTTTAAATATTTATTTACTTACTTATTATGTATACAGTGTTCTGTCTGCATGCCTGCAGGCCAGAAGAGGGCACCAGACCTCATTACAGATGGTTGTGAGCCACCATGTGGTGCTGGGAATTGAACTCAGGACCTTTGGAAGAGCAGGCAATGCTCTTAATCGCTGAGCCATCTCTCCAGCCCTGTACTCTGATTATCTTTAGGAACACAGCGGGTCTGGGAGAGAAGGTTACCACAGTTGCTGTGTACGATGGCCACCTCTGAAAGCTCAGAAAGGCTCCAGAGAAAATGAAGGAATAAGATAGTCAGATATAAAAAGCATGTGTGATGTTAAACACCTGTTTTCAGCACACAGAAAGTAGAGGTAGGAGAATCAAGAGTTCAAGGCTATCCTCTGCTACATAGAAAGTTCAAGACTAGCCTTGGCTACATGTGACCCTGTCTCAAACATAACAAAAACAAAAAAACAAGATGTAGCTGTGTGGTGGTGGTGCACACCTTTAATCCAGCACTTGGGAGGCAGAGGCAGGTGGATCTCTGTGAGTTTAAGGCCAGTCTGGTCTACAGAGGGTGTTTCAGGACAGCCAGGGCTACACACCCTGTCTCAAAAAGACAAAAATAAGACAAAAAACAAAAAACCAAGATGAACAAGATGCAGTTGGACATGGTGGGACTCAATTGTCATCCCTTCAGAAGCAGAGACAGGAGGGCTAGCATGACTGCACGGCCAGCTTGAGTCACTTAACAAGACCCTGCCTCAAATAAATAAATTCATATGTTATATAGTTAGCATCTTAAATAATCATTTGACTAGCAGCTTAAGAATAAGATGGGGGGAGGAAGCTGGGGAGATGGCTCAGCAGTTAAGAGCACTGACTGCTCTTCCAGAGGTTGTGAGATCTGATGCCCTCTTCTGGCCTTTAGGCACACATGTAAACAGAACACTGTATACTAAATAAATAAATATAAATAAATAAAGTTAAAAGAATTTTTTAAAAAAAGAATAAGATGGGGCGAAAGAACCAGAATTTATTAGAGGTGGCTGTGGGTGATCTCTCATATTGCCAAAGTCTGAATTTTTTTAAGATTTATTTATTTATTATGTACACAGTGTACTGCCTGAATGTCAGAAGAGGGCATTAAATCTTGTTGTAGATGGTTGTGAGTCATCATGTGGTTGTTGGGAATTGAACCCAGGACTTCTGGAAGAGCAGCCAGTGCTCTTAATCTTCCATCTCTCCAGTCCCCAAGTTTGAATATTTTTTTTTTTTT